GAAAGCAGAAACAACAGGAATTTGATCAGGATTCATGCCATTCAATCATTCAAACCTCAATCGAATATAATCAATTCATAGAAACAGTACTTGGGTTCATACAATCAAACCTAACATACAGAACTAGGGTTCTCCATACCCAGATGAATGGGAGAACTACTCCATGGAGAGAGAAGCAAAAGCAGAATCAGACGCGGAAATCATACTGTGAAGATGGATTTCTGCTCCTGGACGTTGAATCGGCACTTCTCCAAGCTCAAACCAAGCTCCAATGGTGTTGAAGATCGATCTAAGGCACTTGGAGGCTCTTGTTCGTCGCTTTCTCTCTCTAGGAATCGCTCTGTCTCTCAAAAACTCGAATCCCCTTCTGTTTGGCTCGGAATCCACTTAAAAACCAGAATTTCCCGACTCGCACGGCCAGGGTGCACGACCGTGCACATCACCATTCTGGCCGTGCGACTCAAAACGCGGCGTACCATTAAGTCGAACCTCAGCCATCTCGCACGGCCAGGATTGCACCTTGCACGGCCGTGCGACTTCCATGGCTTGCCCGTGCGTGGCCTCGGCAAAAAGCGCACGGCCAACTTGCTCCATTGCACGGCCGTGCGACTCCCTGGTCTGGCCGTGCAGCCTCCTTGGAACCTCGCCATGCGTCCGACCTTCGTCCAATCGACCCCAGACTCGCTCCTAAGCCTTCATTCACGTCTTAGGACCTGAAATATCACAACCAAGAACAACCTAGCGTGAAATCGGCCTAAAACACGAGAATCAATACATCAAACGGTGTAAGAACAGGGGTGAAAACATGTGTAAATAACGGTCTATCACCTGTCGTTAGTTTAATGTCCTAAAGGTGTGACGTTCTTCCTGGTTAACGGAGTCTCTGGTTTGGTAATCAATCCGACCCAAGGGTTGTCATGGTCGGCGAACGAGAAATCACTCAAAGACGCCTTCTCTTCATTCGCCGAGGTGACAAAAGGTAATTTCTGACGATGCCCACTTGATCAAGTCCGTTTTTTTCCTTGTTAATCACATGTAGCTTTGTATGTTTCTTTGTAACTCATCCAACTGTTCGACGAATTGCCTCCATGAGCCTACTTCTGGCTGGGTGGTCTAGCGGGGTTTTTGTGTTAAGAGGTGCCTGCCCAATTTCCTCTGTACTCATGGATCATCTGCCATGATTGTCAGTGAGGATTGCATATGACAGAGACATCGGAAGGTCAACAGGGTTTGGGTTCGTGAGTTTCACTGAAGAAGATGAGGCCGCTAGTGCCAAGGACGCCATGGATGAGAAGGTGAGGAAAAAGAAACATTCAATCCTTTCTTTATTATCTTCTATAGATGTTTTACTGCTCTCTTCTTCCAATTTGTACATCACCCTAATTAGTGAGAATATTTTTCTTGGGTTTTTCATTATTTGGCAGGCATTGCAAGGTCCACCATTGAGAATAATCTTTGCTCTTGACAGAGTTCGTGGTGGACCAGTTGTCGTCCCTCGTCTGTCTACTCATGTAACACCACATTATACTCGTTTCCGATGCTTCGGGAACGGATCAGGTCAGTAATTCTATGATTAGTAATCATGAGTAACCTGTCAACATCAGCATGACATCAGTATCTTCTCTCTCTGGGAAAGTCTATTATCTATTTCCCTTTAATCTTTAACGGACGATTTCTCTCTCGTTTTAAGTCGAAATTAAATATTTTTTGCACAGATAAATCAGATTAAATGTGCTCTTTAAAATGATATCCACTTTGATATATTTTTAGTACAAAAAAATTGAATAATTTTTTACCAGTCATTATCATATGGTATGCCCATATTTAATACCATATGGTAAAAAAGCGTACCATGATGGTATGAACATACCAATATGGTAAAAAGGTTGAATATATGATAGTAGGAGTATACTAACTGTCATTTACGACTTTTGTCATTGTTTACCACAAGTTACCACCCACATACCATAGTGGTAAAGTATGGTAATTTTTTATCCAGTATTTTTTTCACCAAAAAATTTATAGATCCAATAGATCATGATGAACTCGTTCCTTCTGAGCAAACGTTTTCAAAAACGACTTAAAAATGAAGAAGTTACCATATGGTATGTAGTTGGTAAAAAAGTTTCTCAAAATGAAAATCAATCTCATTTTGTAGAGCACAACGAACTCGTTCCATCTGTGCAAAAAAAAATTGAAATCCGAGTTAGAACGAAGAAGATAAGAATCGATTAAGAAAACTAGGGAAAATAAAATGTCTTTAATTGACCATAGGTCTGAATTTTCTGGACCCACTTAGATCTAAATGTCCAGATTTAGTTACTCATAGGTCAGTAACCATTGGTTACTGGCCCTATCCTAAGCCCGATGCTTCTGGGGAAAAAAATATGCGCCATATCTTATGTGGGTTAATTGCATAGTTGGTCACTAGATTTACTAACAAAATCCATGTTTGGTCACTACAAATATTTAATTCCATTCGTGGTCACTAAAATTAATTCAATAGTTCAAGTTTGATCACTCTCCGTTAGTCTCCGTTAACTTTTGCTGATGTGGCAGTCAACATTCATAGTTGACCGTTAAATAAGTGAAGTGGCTATTAAAAAATATAAAAAAAAATTAATCTTTTTAATTTTCCACATAATTTCCAACTATTAAAAAAACTTATCATCACCACCGCCCGCGGACTTCTCCCACAATGAAATCAAATCGATATGATGCAAGTAGAGTCATTGCCAACCTAAATTCAGAAGATTTCAGAAATCAGACCACCACCATTATCGCATCTCGCGCCGCCTCCGCCGTGAAGCGTTGTACCGATCTCCACCACCACCACACCCCAACAGCGCTACTCTCCAAGCAAGTGGTCACCGACTCCTCCAAACTCATCGACGACGTACCAGATCGCCTGAAGTCTGGTCTGTACAGTGGAACCGCCTTAGGAGAGAGGCAGTGGCGGATTCATGGAGCTTTGGGGGTGTCCCGGGACACCCCTAAAATTTGAGAATACGATTATTCAATTCACGATAGTAGTTTACATATCGATAAAAAAATATTTAAATGGTAGCCGGACACCAATAAAATTTGCAAAAATGATTATCCAACTCTAAGTAGTAGTTTGCGTATGAGTAAATAAAAATATTTAAATGTTAGTCTAAGTGATTTGAACTTGGGCCGTTGCTACTATAAGTGGACATATTTTTCATTAGACTACAAATTATTTGTTCTTATATTTTAAATCAAAATATAATAGTAAAAAGCTATTTCTTATCTCCCATTATTTTCAATAGCTAACAATTAAATCCAATCAAGGACTCCTCTAGTCCCCTTGTTCCAGTAGGATTTATCGAGAGTTGTTAGACAACGATTGTATTTTACAATTTTGTCAAAATACGAACACTTCATGTGCTTTGTTGTATTTCGTAAAAATAAGATATTTTTTATTTAATAATTATTTAATAATTAATTTAATTTAATTTTTAAGAAATGACAACCTATGTAAAATTTCTGGATCCGCCACTGGAGAGAGGGTGGTGGCAACCGGAGAACAGGATCATTCATTGGCAGCCACTTGATTCGTTTGCGCCGCCACTACTTCCCCCACCCGCTTCCGCTTCGGGCGAGACCTTGGATCTAGAACTGGAGAACCTGCAATGAGGATTCGGACTTGGTTCATTGTCGTCGATCAGCTTCCACATATTGCTACAACAGGGTTTCTTCCTTCACTACCTTCGACGGATTTCTCCCACGAGTTTTCCGACGGACTTCTCCCACAGTGAATGGTGTTTATTATAATTTTTTAATCGTTGGAAATGATATAGAAATTTTTAAAATTTTATTTTATTTTTGTAATATTTTTTAATTGCTACGTCACACACTTAACAGTTAATATGAAAGTTTGACTGCCACATCAGCAAAAGTTAACGGAGACTAACGGAGAGTGGCCAAATTTAAACTATTGAACTAATCTTAGTGACCACAAATTAAATTAAATATTTGTAGTAACCAAACGTGAGCGTTTTTAGTAAACCTAATGACCAACCTTGCAATTAACCCTATCTTATGTTGTGAAAATTAGGGATGGCAACAGGCCGGGTCGGGGGCGGATAATGCATATCCGTTACCCTACCCAAAGTAGTTCGGGTTTTACCCATACCTATACCCACATGAGAAACGTGTAGAAAATCAAAACCATGTCCATACCCGTTCGAGTTTCGAGTATCCACGACTATCCATGGGTAATAATTTTTCTTTATAACTCCAACAAATATGTTAACATTAACACGTATGCTCACATTACGTAAGATGAAAAGTACGAAAATAATTCACTAGATTGAAGAAAATTAATTAAAACAACACAATTTCATGAAAATATTAAATTTATATGCTAAATATAAAATATGTTAGAGATAAATAATGATTATTTCTAAACAAAATACATATGAATGTGTATAATCGGGCGGGTTCGGGTTGGATAGTGAGAAAACCATGTCAACCCATTACCCGTAATATTCGGGTTCGGATTTTACCCGTACCCACTAAAAGTCCTTCGCATTCGGGTTTTACCCTACCGGATTAGGGTGAATTCGGGCGGATGTCCACGATTTCGGATATTTTTGCCATCCCTTGTGAAAATGTGTTAACCTGAATTCAAGGTAGACGCTCGTTTGATTGCTTATGGCCTATTTCCATCATAGAACTTTGAAGCTGTGAAGCACCTTCAGGAACATGGAGCGAGCCAACTCAAACAGTGTGGTTCTGGTTCCCATCTCAGATCTGTGCGCCACAGAATCAGTAATATCACTTAATGAAGGCGTCATTGTGAAATAAAAGTTCGCCAAAGATACCTCCTGCTTAATTGGTTAGCCAGATATATGTTGAAATTCCCAAGCACATGGTTGAGCTCAACAACCAATCCTCGAGACTGAACTCAAGAACAATAGTCACCTTACCACAAAAAGATGCATCACATTATCAAATTTACGAACACCGTCACGCACTAACATCTCCAGATTGATAACAAGGATGCTTATGATCCAAGGTGAAAACTAGGGAACAAAATAGATCATCAGCAAAAAACATAAAAAACAACATTCATTCATCCATCCTGCAGAACAAGAATCCCCATGGTCTCCAAATACCGACTGGCATTGCATTACATAGTTCTACTGTCGGCTATCAAAACCATATAACTAAAACTATTCTTCACTGGAACAACATTTTCAAAACTTAAAAAGCAAAACACAGACAAAACCGCAGCAGGCTCATCCATCTGTTCACTTCTTCTTCTCGCCTGCTCCTCCAGACCTATAAGCAAGAGAGAAGATAACTGAAATCAATATCCGCCTTGCCAGTATGAAAGCCACTATCAACAGTCCCCCCTAGGTAAATACAATTACTAGCCATGACTCGACATCAATACAGATAGAATTAGAGTAGAAGAACAACTGACCAAACTTCAGAACTTATGACAATCAATAATACAATTCTAATGTCTGTTAAAATCTAAGAGCTAGCTATAAACAAATAAGGTGAGTACAATAGAATATATGCTACATTCCAGTCCTTAAACAAGAACCATAAACTAACTAGTATTGCTCTTATGACAATCAATATATACCGCAATGCCAAAAACAAAAACAGGGTATTAGTTCATCAAGTTAATTTTTTTTATGAAAGGAATGGCAGCAAAGGATGGTCATTCTTCTCTTCAAACAAAACCCTAACTAGCTAGCTAAAAACCTACACAGACGATAGGACAGAAAAATCAGACCGAGGGACAATTAGGCAAAAGACATAATAGGGCTAACCTCATCTTGCGGAGTGCGGTGGACATCTCCTCTCTCTTCTTCTTGGCCCTCTTGTGGGTTCCGAGCTTTCTCTTGGCCAGCTTCAACGCTCTCTTGTCCTTGCCGACCTTCAAAAGTTCAGTGATCCTCTTCTCGTAAGGAGCAAATCCAGCGACCTCCCTGATAAGGTTCCTCACCAAATGAACCCTCTTGCTGGTTTTCTATTTCCAAACATAATCGAACAATGCAGAAAGACGAAAAATCATCAGGATCCATTGGAAAATGGAAAACTGCACAGCGATGGAAATCCAGAACTGAAACACACAGATGTGTAGGAGAATAAAGGGCTACGTACCCCTTTTCTGTCGGATGGACGGGGCGGCAAATCGCGCTTGGTAACGATGTGGCCCTTGTTCAGACCGACGGCCAATCCACTCTTCGCAGCGGGAGCCATTTCCTACCGGAGAAAGAAAATAACACAGCCTGCAGAGTCAGGATCCGGAGAACAAACTGAACGATCAAGCGACAGGGGAGGAGGATTAGGGTTTTACCTTCAATCGTCTTCTTGCGGCTGCCGAAGGAAGGAAAACAACGAAGTCTCTGCTTTGCCAAACCCTAGTCTGATTTTTTATACTACAGGGTGGGCAAAGATGGAGACCCGGAGGGAGAAGGGCCGCGTTTTGGGCCATGGATTCGGGCTAGCATCTGTTTGAGCCGGCCTGCTGTCTGTAACCAAGTCGGTTAACTGGGCCCTTTCTATTCAGGCTCAAACAAACAATTCTTGGCCTTGGACTTTTCTGCCCTGTACTATGGCGATGTAACAAACGTGCCCCTTTACTATTTTTTTGCACAAAGATGCTCTTGTACTATTACGTCGTAACAAAATTACCCTTCTGTTCAAAATTTTGTTTTCTCACCGTTAACTGGCGTAGGAAATGACCTAACTACCCCTGACTAATTAAGAAATTCTGTTTTAATTAAAAAGTGATTACATACGAATTAAAAAACTAAAAGAAATCTCGTTTGAATTAGAAAAGGATTACGCCGGTTAATCCCTTCATCTTCTCCCTTTACTGTAGAGCAACCCGCGCTCGACAACATCGCCGGCAACGACGCCATCTTCACTGGCGTCCTCCATCATCCTTTAGCGGCGTACTCCAACGGCGTCCTACGGCGTCCTCCAACGGCCCGAAATCCATCATTTGAAGTTCAAGTAGCAATATCGGTTGGGTTGGACGAAGAAGCAGTATTGGGAAGCAGTATTGGTGGATTCGGCGAAGAACAAATACCACCACTCCCGTTTGTCTATCAGTTCCCAAGCTTTCTATGGTTATCATATCCCCACAACTTGAGGTATGGTTGAACCTAAAACCCTATATTTTAATCCCTAATTAAGTTGAATAAGACAAAAGTTGAAATTAAGTAATAGTTCTTTCAGGGACACGTATATGGAATATGGATGGTGGAATCAACAATGAATTTGGTGGAGGCAATGGATTCATGCATGATTCTGTTGCAGCTAACAATAGGGAAAAGGGTTCCATCGATTGATAATGTACACAGTACTGAACAGGTGTGCCTTTTCAGTTGTGATTCATGGTTGGTGCTAAATAAAAAAATATGGTTGTAACAATGATTTCTTTTATGTTAATGTTCTTTCTTGTTTCCAATCGTGCAGGTGCAATTTAATGGCAACATTAGAAATGAGGAAGAAGTCGATCTTGATGAAGAAGAGAAGGGAGATTCCGACAACGAGTTTGAGTTGAACCCAGATTAGGTCTCGGATGAGGATATTGCAGATAGGGAAGAGATATTATCGAAGGTGAAAAGGGCAAAAGAGAAGATGTATAGAGGAATTCCTGTTACTTATCACTCCGATGATGAGGTTGATAGAAGACTTGATCAAGTAGATGAGCAAGAGGGTTTTAGCTCTAGTGATGATGGGATTTATGATGGAAACGATGAGGAGGATGAAGTTGATGATCATGCAATACGCAGAAGAAGCCGTTTTCCACTATTTGATCTAAATTTGGAAACACCATTCTTTGAGCTTGGCATGATTTTCACTAGCATGACTCGGGCAAAGAAGATTGTTCGAAAGTATGCTTTGGCTGCCATAAAAGGTGTGTTGGTGAAGAAAAGTGATCCATCGAGGCTAAGGGTGATTTGTAGGTACAAGGGATGCCCTTTTACATTGTTTGTTTCATGGTGTAAACGAGCTGAAGCATTTCGCATCAAAACACTGAATGTGCATAGATGCGGACTTCATTTCAAGAACAAATAATGCAGTCCAGTTGTGATTGCAAAGAAGTATCATAGGAGGATAAGAGCACATCCACAGTGGAAGCTCAAGGACATGAGAGAGACAATTAAAGAAGAGATGGGATATGAGGTGCATAGGATGACATGTTCACGTGCAAAGAAGATAGCGATGCACTTGACTCGAGGATGCTATAATGATGAGTACGCACTACTGTGGACTTATGCGGAAGAATTGAAGAGAGCTAACTCGGACACAACTGTCTGTATCATGGTGAACCAAGACAATCCGGAGGGGCTGCCCAAGTTTCAGCGTATGTATATCTGTTTCGGTGCCATGAAAAAGGTTTTAAAGCTGGATGTAGGAAGATTGTCGCTTTGGATGGTTGCTTTCTTAAGGGTTTGTGCAAAGGAGAGCTACTTGCTGCAGTTGGGAGGGATGCAAATAATCAAATGTACCCCATTGCATGGGCAGTGGTTGAAATTGAGTCTAGAAGTTCATGGGACTGGTTTCTCAAGGAGTTGAGGGATGATTTAGACATTGATGAAGATGCTGGTTGGTCCTTCAGTTCAGACCAAATGAAGGCCAAATGGTGATATTTTTATTGCTAACAGTTGGTTTTTGTTAGTAAAGTGTCCACAACTTATTAACACCAAATTGCATGTTTATAAGGACTAGTACCTGCAATAGTCGAACTCTTCCCACACACGTAGCATCGCCTATGTGCGTGACATATATACCGCAATTGGAGAAAGAAATTCAGGACCCGAGCATGGCAAAAGTTGTTCTGGGCGTGTGCCAAGGCGACGACGCCAATGTTCTTTGATCGAGCCTTATAAAGGGTGGCAGCAGAGAACAAGGAAGCTGCCAATGCATTGCTGTTAATTGACCCAAGACACTGGTGTCGCAGCTACTTCTCAACGGAGGTTAAGTGTGATTTGGTTGACAATAACATGTCAGAGTCTTTCAATGCCTCCATCTTGTAAGCTAGATTTAAAGCCATATACAACATGCTGGATGAACTCCGTGTCATGGTTGTAGAGATGGTCGCGACAAAGATGTCATTGGGAGAAAAGTGGGAGGGTCTGTATTGCCCAAAGATCATGCAGAAGTTCAATGCGCATTCTGCAGAAGCTAATTTTTGTCATATATTATAAAATAGCCAACATGGGTACGAGGTGAGGCATAAGGAGGACAGATTCACAGTGCATGTTCTGCAACATACCTGTTCCTGTAGAACTTGGCAATTGTCAGGGATTATGTGCCCTCATGCTATTGCATGCTTGGTGATGACTCGATATGTGCACATGTTTTTCCCCTTGTTTCTTGATCGTTTGAGCTTTAATTATCGCGTCTTTGGCCTATTTTACGCTAGGTTGTGTTCCTTTGTCACATTTCAGGTCCTAGCACATAAAGTGAAGCATAGGCGCAAGTTTCAAGTCAATCAGAGATCAATTGGCGATTAGGGAGAAGAAACTCGGGCATGACCTGAAGAAGAATGGATTTCTACCTCACTTTATGGACAAATAATCATGCAAGCTTGTCATGAAAAGAAAGAGGACGAGACTATGAGCGCCTGGGATCAAACGGCGACTGATTTGGAGTCCGGACGAGGGAGAAACGAAGCATTGAATATAGGGGAACAGGTTCGGCAGTAAAAACACGGGCGCGCCTAAATCAAAACACGGCCGTGCCCATATTTAGGCACAACCGTGTTTTGGCCGACACGCGCAGGCATGTTTTTAAAACGGGGCAAAACACGGGCGGGCAAAAGCAAAACACGGCCGTGCCCTCGACCGTGTTTTGCCCAGAATCGGGTTTTTTAACCCAAATTCGAGCCAAAGGAGAGGAAGAGCTAGGTTTTGGATCCCAAACACCCAAGGGACGAACCAAAGAGAGAGAGGGTGATTTGAGGGCATTCTTGGAGTGGAATTGGAGGATTTCTTCGCCTTGGAAGCTCAAGGAACAAGCCCGGACTTGAAGACTGATCATCTGAAGATTCTTACTGCAGTCTCTTTCTTCTCTATGGAGTAACTTCCCTTCACTTAGGTTTTGAGGAACCCTAGCCATGTTTGTTTGATTGGATGATTGTATGAGTACTCCTGCTTGATAATCTTGAGTTCATATTCAATCTATGCATGTTTTCATGATTCAATTCTGCTTTAGTCGAGATTATTGATTCTGCTTTGATCCTATGGGAGCGAATACCTGATTAGGTCAATAGAGCACCATAGATTGGTAGTATTGGATCGATTTCTTTAGTCGAGGGTTGATTCAATGCTTTGTATCGATTGAGAACCTCATTCGATAGAGGGAATCTAGTTCAGAACGCCTTGATCGGTTGTTCTAGAGAAGGATACGTCCCTCTAGGCAATTGAATCAAGAGGGCCTTGTTCCTTTAGTCGAGACTCAAGGTCTAGTTAAGGATTCTCAGCATTGTGAATGAAAGTGAAACAGGTAAGAGATCATTAATCTGGCTAGTGGCTAGGGGGAATCATACCTAAGTGAGTTCCCAACCTGTAATTAGATTAACTTTAACTGTAGTTTGTTAGAGTAGTTTTAGTTCTTCCATCTTAATCTGGTTTGCTAGATAATGAACTGAAGCTGAGTAATAGTAACTCTAGAGACCCGTGGATTCGATATTTATTACTTGAGCCACTATACTGCAGTCCCTTTCATTGGTTACACTTGGCCATTGTTAGGAGTTGTGGCACACTGAAGTTGTCACAGAGAGCTCCCGTGATGATCATGATCAGGAATGTCATATCATAGCCGACCACACCTTCCCACATCCCAAACTGAGCTTTGAAGAGGCGGGCATGAGTGAGGAGATGCAAGAAGATCTCATGAAAGAAATTGCTTGGCAACTTGCTCTCCAATTCGTGCTAGAAGAAGAAGAGCGAGAAAGGGTGCAGAAAGAAGTTGTGGAGGGTGACGAAAGTGAAGCAGAAGGAGTTCTTGATCATTTCCCCACTTGAAGAAGAAAGGGAGGTTGAAGAATCAATTGGCGTCCAGGCTGAGGACGGAGTTGAGGTGGAAAGGCTTGCACCGGCCATGAGTTACATGTGATATCTCCACCAAACTTCGAGGAATTGCTTAGCAAGGACCCATTTGCAGTGTCTCTTTGCCAGACCAAGGCCACATCGACATCGGTCCCTCTTGGTGGACGCGATGGTGGTAAATCGATGCTGTCATATCTAGTTTGGGGCAATGAGACGAGAGGAGAGAAGAATAGGTCTCGGGGGTGGAGACTTCATCTGCATCAAGCGCACGAGCTTCCATCACCTGTCATATCACATGCTCGTGACTTGAGACTCCACCTCATTGACGGGAACCTCAACTTCAAGGAGGTTTTGGGGTGGTCCGAAACTTAGGATCCATCGTCCGGCTCACGACGTGAAAGAAGCGCTTGTTGGGAGGCAAACTAACCAGTCGGTTTGCATTTCTTTCTCTTTTTCTCCTCGGTTGAGTCAGTTTTGTTCTTTGATTTTAGA